TATATATAAATAAATAAATTGTAAATATTTAAATAAAATGAGTGTTTTTTTAATAGGCAATAAGGAAACTATTTCTGATTTCTTTTGATACCTGTATAAATTAAAATATTTTAGTTAAAATAGTAAAATATGAGACTTGTTAATATTTTTATCAAACTTTATTTAATAAAAATAACAATAACAAGCAAATAAGAGGGTTTAGTTATGTTTGGCTTAGATATAAAACATAACTAGGTTGTTGTGATTTTAATTACCCATACAATATTTAAATAAATGGCTAAATATACAGCATTATAGTACGGGCGATTAATTTCTAATCACCAAGTTGAAGAATTCTAATTAATTAAAATGAGCAGTGCCAGACACATGTTTCATTTAAAAATGCTCATTCTTTCTTTCCCTATCATCATCTTTATTTATTTATTTATTCATTCAATTATTTATTATTAGTTTATTATTTTTTTCAAAAAGCTTCTAAATGTTGAAAGAAAATTATTTTTGAAGTAAATTTAAAGTGGTGGTATTTTCTAAATTCTATCCATTATTACAAGAAATTTGATATTTGGTTTACTTTAGCAATTTGGCATCAATTAATTGATTAGAAACACTGAGGAACAAATTTTTTGTCGCATTTATGCAGATGCATAATCTTGCTTAATTATGGTATGGGGATTTCAAATCTGAAAGTAATTTTCCTCTTAAAATTGTTTTTACTATCACATTTTTACTAAATTTTTGCCAAAATGTACAAGTTTAAAAACAGTATATATAACAGGAGATCACGTAATGGTTGTGGCAAACTTCTAAGGGAATTAAAGCACTTAACCCCGATTACCTGGAAATGTCGTCACACGCGGCTAGGAGGGCTTCATTATTATGACCTCTTTAGAAGCACACGTAGAATCAGTTAATTATAAGTAAGTGCCCATAGAGGTGTAAGACAATATTTCTGTTCATCAGATCCTGTACAGTTTTAATCATGGTGGTGTTGGGGAGAACGGGGTCAATTGTAACAAGGTACGATTGTAACAGAGCAAAAATTTCGAGTGTCGGTTTCTAGATTTGGTTCCTAGGTGGCGCACAAGGCGTATTTAATAAACCTACATGTACACCCCTGCTGGCAACCATTCTTATGTACTTTTGAAAGTGTTACATCACAAAAGTAAGTACTTTTTTGGTATTAGAATATGATATTGTAACAAAGTAATTTTGTTTAAACAAATAAAAATTATTAACCGAAAATGTCAGTGGACACCTTAATTAACATTTCAAAAAAAAAAGATTTGTTTTGTTAATTAACTAGCATTGTTTTAACAAATGAAGCTGAAATGGCGTCTTGGGGTCGATTGTAACAATAAATAAAGGGACGATTGTAACAGCTGCAAATAAATAATCTTACGTTTACAAACCATTACTTAACTCTTTAAGAATTACCAACAGTTTCCTATATCATTTATATTATATTGCATATGCATTATTTTATTTGTCACCTTTCACAGCATAAATTAAAATTTTTAACCCCTTAAAGTTAAAAGTTTAGCCCTTTAGGTCTCTGCTCATTATTATTTTTACTCCTAAAATATCATTACTATTTTGATCAATAAAAAAATATATCACAACTATGATAATATGTATAATTAACTATGTTTTAGTTGAATTTATGAACTGTTACAATTGACCCCGTAAGTGGGGACAATTGTAACAAGCGCACGACTGTCAAAAATTGTTAATAACTAATATAATAGCATTTAAAATAAGGTATTTTTTTTCTAGTAGAGGATAGTCTACTTTACTCGTCTGTCAATTAATACTAATAATATATTGGAATTTTTGTTAGTTATATGTTGACTAGTTGAATAGTTAGAATAGTTGAATAGTGAACATGTTGATTAGTTAAGTAAAAAATTTTACAATTGACCCCACTCTCCCCTTCTCTAACTCCGATGAAGTTTTTCGCAACATTTATACGATCTCCTGCTGTATATAACTTTTTTAAACTTTTACAATTTAACAAAAAATTAAAAAAATGTAATTTTTAAAAAAAAACGATTGTAGATTTGAAATCAGCGATGCGAAAGTATCTAAGATCAGTTAAAAATCTCATACAACAAAAAACGACACAAAAAATATCAATTTATGAATACATTAATCAGTTTTATAATTGAACTTGTTCTTATCTTGCGTTTTAGCGAAGAAAAAAAACTAAAGAGACAATACTTAAGAGAAATTTTTTTTTTGTGTAAAATAGCTTACATGTCTCCGTCGTATCTACTCTTGAGTCTGATTTCCACTCTTTCGTGAAAACATTTTTGGTTAAAGATTGTTGAGTTAGATTCAAAGCGTGGATGAAAACTGAAATCTATAAATTCTATTCTTGCTCGTTTTCCTTCGGGTGCCTAAGAAATATTTGAATATATTAAAAGTTACACATAAAGATATACATTTAAAGCTATGTAGGGGGACTTGTAATCACCACATTGAAAATAAATTGGAAAAAAAAAATACATTGTATATTCTTTGACATTTTTATATCAAAAACTGTAAAGTTGCTTTAAAGAAATTAGTTATAAATGACATAATCCAAAATTTGAATGGAAGTGGTCAAATTGAGTCATAAATTTTTTAAAAAAACGTATTTTTAATTTTAAAAAATCTGAAAATTCATCCGATTTTGTTCGTAATTAAAAATGATGCAAAAACTTGTCTACCATTCAATATGAAAATTATGCCTTATTAAAATAAAATAATAATATCTTATTGAAAATCTTATTGAAATCTTATTGAAAATCTTAAAATCTTATTGAAAATCTATAAATCTTATTGAAATACGAGTAGATCATAAATAATTAATATTTATTTTTATAATTATGCTCATTTAAATAACATACGACTAAAAAATGAGTATATGACGTCTCATTTTTTAAAATACGTATTTTGTTCAAAAATGAGAATAACTGTTTCAAATTTGAGTATGCACTTAAGGAGTACATAGTTTTCATATTCGAGTATATTTGCTTCAAAAGATGTGTCATTAATCAAAATAACACATTTATACTCATTTTTGAAAAATCATTTTTACGAGAAAAATAATGTGCATGAGAAAATTTCGTTTCTCATTTAAATTAAAAATTAAGCCTTGTTGAAAATTTGTAAACGATCGAAATAATTAAAAATTAAAAGGTACTGTATCTGAGGAATATAATGGGTGAGGTAAAATAACACATGCAAGCCGTAAAAGCTTTTAGCGAATTCCCAAACTTGAATAAAACCACGCTTTACTTGAATAAAATCACTTGTCTATAGACCAAATATAACCTTTTTTATTTGGTTGAAACATTTATTTTTGTTCAGCAGATGGCAGAAAATTTTAGAGACGTTCGTACACTGTGAAAAATTCTGGATTGCCACTCAAAGGCCGGTAATTTTTACTGTAAATTATATTTTTACCGGAACATGCTACGGAACAAAGAAGAAAAAAACTCTGATGTACCGTAATTTTTACATTAATAATGATGGCAAAATCACGAAATCATTCTAATTAAATACATACTACGGTATAATATTTTACGGAAAAAATAGATTTTACTGATGATGCACCCAAATTACCGGTACCCTATACAATTATTTGATCCAGAATTTTTTACAGTCATGTTTACTGGTGTAACTTCAAATCTTTTTATTTATTTGAAGAAACGAAATTTTAGTCTACATCAGTTCTTAACTTATATAATGATGATACGGATAAAGTGAAGATTAGTTATGAAAAAATACAACCAGCTGAGTTGGTCATTCGGGCAACGCAAAACATTCTGAGCTAACCAATACTTTAGAATTATATTAGAAAATTTAAATGCTCAGCAATAAAAACTGACTATTCGACTTACAGATTAATGATAAAGTTTAAAAAGGAAAATAAAATTGAAAATTAAATATATTCAACTTACGTAAAAAAAATAAAAAAAATCTTATAAGCCTGTGATGCAATTTGGGAGCAATCCCCAAAAGAGAATAGTGGGTATACAATTAAGTTAATCAGCTAATAATTTAAAAATTGCTTGTTTTTCAGGTTTCAAAGAACTTAATGTTACCTGAATCCACCAACTACATGAATCAGGAGGGAGATTTCTAGTTGGATATCCAGGAGTTTGTATCTCAGTTTCTTCAGTTATATTTCCACCGCATGGAGGACGTTCTGCAATTAGGAAACATATATATATATATATATATATATGTGTGTGTGTGTGTGTGTGTGTGTGTGTGTGTGTGTGTGTGTGTGTGTGTGTGTGTGTGTGTGTGTGTGTGTGTGTGTGTGTGTGTGTGTGTGTGTGTGTGTGTGTGTGTGTGTGTGTGTGTGTGTGTGTGTGTGTGTGTGTGTGTGTGTGTGTGTGTGTGTGTGTGTGTGTGTGNTATATACATATGTCATAGCGTCAGTAAATAATAAATGTTATTTGCCAACTTTGACGTAAATACCCGGATCAACATTGATTATAAAACCAATACAATTAGAATTAATATTTACTTCATAAAAATTTAATAAAGCTAAAAGAACTATGTATAGTTACAAAACTAGAACTTTCTCAATTGAAAATAGTTTTGAGTAAGTCTTCTCATCTTTTTAAATTAAAACATGTCTATTGTTAAAAATTCCGATGCTTCAACAAAATCTTACCATAATATTCTAAGGGTTCATCGGCATTCTCGCAAAATTGTCCAGAGGAATTTGGTGGACAAACACAGGTACAATTGGCTCCATCACCTCGATAGGGAGAAAGAAAACCACCATTCTGACATACACTCTCATTTCTGTTAGGACAACCATCTAAAATCAATGAATTGGAAGTTAATGCCAAATAAGAATTGTGAATAAATATGAATCATACAGCTGTTTAAGAGGAATGTAGACATTGCTGGTTATCAATAAAGGCATCCGATGAATCCATTTAGAAACAAAAAACCATGATTGGAAAAATTGATAATTAAACTTTTTCAAATGGAACACCGATGTTATATTTATAAATATTTTTCGCTGACCCTCTAATTACAAGCAAAAATATATTTTGATATTTTTCGGTTATAAAAACAGTCAAAAAGTTAGTAAGAAAATCTGTTGAACTAAAATATAAAATCCAAAATTGCAGTTCGAAAAAAAAATTTTTCGTTCCATTCATATTTAAAAATTTCTTAATAATTAATGTCGTAAATGAAAGACGTTTCAATGATGAATAACTGTTTTATTAGATATAAATAACTGCAAATAAATGCACATTTTTAAAAAAATGGTTTGGAAGATTTTACTTTTAACGAAAAAATAGACATCAATGCTTCATGATGTACTTCATAATCATAAATTATTAAAAATAAAATTTCTCACTAATTTTGAACAAAATAATGCAAAAAGTTTAAAAAATATGTTTTATAAAAATTCTGCATCAAAGAGCTGAGTCAAAAGAGATATGGGTTGAATAACACGTTGTTATACACTAGTTTAAATCGTTTTTTGATTAAATTTTTATTTTAATTAGATTTTATGGAAATTTAATTGATATTAAATTTCCTTAACTTTAAAAAATCCACATTTCTATTGCCTAGTGATTGCATAGTATTCTTAAAAGTTAGTGTTCTAAGATTAGTTTTTTTTATTCAAATAGGTAAAATTTTTGTGCAGTGTATGCAAAATGTCCTACATTATGTATAAGATTTTGGTATTCAATTTTAAAAATATGTGATTTATATTTTTTATTATATTTAGTAGTAAAAAAGGAAAACATGATATTAATAATATTAACTAAATAAGCCAATTAAAGTAAATTTGTGTTTTATAAAAATTTGGTTTATCGAATAAAGAAAAATGTTATTTTTGTTCAGTCTTCAACTCAGAAATATTTTTTTTTAAAAAAGAATAAAAGAAAGAAAAAAATAATGCGTTTTTCTTTCTCCGTGAACTTCCTATAACAAACTTTACTTAAGAGCATTGATCATTGTATAGAATACCTAGTTTAAGTGTATTATAATTCTCCAATTTTATATTAGCACTGTATACAATGTCTGTGCCAAGCATTGTATATAAAGTCTAGGTCATATATATACAATGCCAATTACGTATGTAGCTTCTTGTAATTAGGTAGTTAAGCTTTTAAGAGTGTTATTAATTTTTCAGATAGGTTCTTAAGTATTTTGGAGCAATTCTTTTTTCGCTTTATATATTTTTCTGCAACTATTGTAAAATCTTTCTCAATGATCGTACGAGTTCGCAGTTTTACATTAGTACGGAAATTAATTCGAAAATCTGATTCTATCTTATTTATTATTTTAAATGCTTAGAAATTAATTCAAACATTTTGCTGCATTTAATTATTTCTCTTAATCATATTTAAGTTACTAAAAATGTAACCTGGTTATGATTGAAAAAGCATGTACTTAATTTAAAGTAAAATATGTATTTGACATATTTTCCTTCTGAGATTTTAATGAATGTATCCTATTCCAGTCCAGCTCCTCTACTAATTGACTCAGATTAGTTCAATAATTGATTTTAAGTAACCTATTTGCTCTGTAATAAGTAGACATGAATTTATAATAATTCATGTTGTGTTGTGGAATTTAAAACTAGGTAAATGCAACGCTTCATGTTTGCAAATTGAAGACCCTTTATGATAATTGATAAAAATTGAGCATTTTTAGGTTTTAAAAAGCAAATGAAAAACAATTTTTTTGAAGTTTTGTAAACGTCAAAATGTTAAAAAATGTGTTCTTAGGTAATTTAGCTTTTGTACAAAATGTGGTAAAACTTACCGAGTTCTTGACTTAATGGGAGCACCGAAAACCAAAATTACCAAAACTCTTTGTTAATGATTTTGTTAACAAATTTTAACACATATCATAAGACAATAAATTTGTTGTTTTATAATATGAGTTAAAATTCGATAAATGTATTATAATTTGATAATTTTATCATGATATCTAAGAGCATGGCATGAAAATTATTTACTATGATAAATTTACTTAATAGTTTTGTATTTTAACTAAACACGTGGCGAGAACTATAATTTTTAAAACTGGAATTAGCGGTTAACGGGTGCCATATGAAAAGAAAAATTATCAAGGAAACAGTTTAAGTACTGTATATTTTGATTTCATTTACCGGAATTAATTATTTTTTTTACGGGAAATGTCTTAACGGGAATTTCTTTCCCTTGTGTCTTGTGATACTTTTAAAATAATACTTACTACTGCATGAATACATTTTATTGATCAATCTGGCATCTCTGAAACTTATTTCCTCACCAGATCCAATGAGTGTCTGAAAATGAGGATTCAAGGCCGCAATTGTGTTCTTTTGGAAATACTTTCCAGTAAAAGCCTAAAAGAAATTGTTAACAACAATGATCATCAAACTTATTTTTGCAAAAAATTTGAACATAATTGCTGAGAAAACTTCACTGAATACAATTCTAGACGTCCGAGTGCTTCTGAAATATAATACTTTGAAGGAAAAAAAAACTGCAGGGCGCCATGAGAGCTTTAAATGGTCAATGTTTTTTATGACAATGTAAGCCATTCATGACCCTGTGTAACTTTTTTTTTTCAAAATAGCATTTTTTTCCTGTTATCTATACTAGAAACTATTATACTGAAACAAATTCCGATATAAAACACCGGCACTTTAGTCCGTAAAATCCATTTTTACCGTATAAAACCTATATCTTAATTTTTAAAGTAATATTCTTTTAATTAGATTGAGTCAGTAATTTTATGGTAATTATTGTTGTAAAAATTACGGTACATCAGATTTTTTGTTCCACAACTTGATTAAGTAAAAATGGATTTTACGGCATCCTGAATGCCGGTACTTTTGCATGATTTGTTCCAAAACATTTTACAGTTTGCCAGAAATTATTTAAAAATTTTTTTTATTTACGGTAACATTGTGTAGAACGTATTATATTTTTATATTTCAATATTTTTTTTTATCTAAATAATTATCATTCGGTAAAAAAAATTAAACACAGCTCAATTTTTTACTATTGATTTAAGTTTAATTTATTTTAACCTACGTTGAGTAGAAAAATTTAAAGCAATAATTCAAAATTTATTATTAATGAATAATGCATTCGTAAATACAGAGGTTGGACAAAATAATGGACAAACTTCTACACTAGCACATTTTTTTTTTATCTTTCTTACAAAATATTTTGTGAAATATTTTACAAATTTAGAAGTGTTTAGGTGACGGGATTTCTCATACTTATTAATGAAGTTTAAACTTTTAGAGGCTTGAGGGAAAGACTATAAATTACAAATGTAAAATAATGCTTTTAAACACCATATGCCAAAAATTTAAATTTTCCCGAGCATGCGTAGTATAAAAGAGCAGTTTCAATTGCTCATAACTTAGAGCAGCTTGAAACAATTGTTTTTCTAATTTTGTAGTTTATTTTAAATTGCTCTAAAGATTTCGTTTATTGTTCATGAATATTTTTAAAGTTATAGCAAAAAAACGCTAAATAGAATAAATTATATTTTTAAAAAAAATGTCCATATCTCTGTAAATATTTACGCTAGGTTTACGAAATTTTGTGCAGTTATCGAATATAATAACCAATTGTTATGAGTTACAAAATTATAGCTACATTTTTCTCTATAGGGTATTCAAAAACATTATTTTAAAATCGAAATTGTAGATCCAACATGACCCTCTTAGCCAACAACTGGATACATCATAAGTGCTTTATTTGCTTAAATAGTACCAGGTTTCTTCTCTAGTTAAACCATAGTACCGTGTAAGAAACGTTAAAAAGCACGACGATAGTCTCATTTGTTTGATTTGTTGTCTCCCCCCCCCCAATTAGTGATTTATATCAGCATCGTATTTATTTTAAGTATGATCTAATAAAGAATGGCCGCATACTATGAATCACAGGGGAAAAAATATCTGGTTAAATTACCGTATTGAATGGTAATGACATTTGTAGTATTCTGGTATCAAGAACCACAATACACGGTATTTAAACCATTCATGTGGTAATTTTTCCATTCATGCGGTAACGGTTTACCAGAAACTCTGATTTTCAAAATTATTGTCCTTACTACTACAAATTTAGCAAATAAATATAAAACTGAGAAGTAAATTTAGCAAAATAAAAGATTTTTATGCTATGCTCAAATGTATCATAATAAAATTACCAACTTTTGTCGCATATTATGAAACTGTATTTTATTGCTAATTTTACAAGAATCATTACCAAAGCGCTTCGGTGGAAAGTACAGAGCTTTTTGTTGCCCCTATATAGCCGAAAACATGGTAAATTTTAACTTATTCTGGTAATTTTGTCCATCCTTTTTTTTCTCAGAGAGCTTATGGTATCATGGATGTTCTTATAGACCTTTTAAATCTTTGTAGAAAGTGGGAAATAAGCAAGATCAGTATTTATTTCCACTGAACCATTATTTTTAACAGTTGCAAAGAGAATATTTGGTAATATTAATTCTTAAATGAATTGCGAAGATTTAATATTAATTTGCGCCTTTGTTTCGAATTATTTTTTCCTCTGAGTTTTGTCAAATAACAAATTATATTTCCTTAAAATTATTTCTGGCGAAAATTAAGATTAATACTCCCCTGTCAGAAAAGCGGTTTAGAGTTGAAGCGTGACATTAGTATTTTGACTCTTAGCCTTCAACCTTAATAAAGTGTTAAATAGAACCTTTTTTTTTTAAGTTGAGCCTTAATATAACGTAATCAAGATTGATCAGCATAATAATACGGTTCACCTTAACACTATATTAAAGGTTGCAGTAAAGTTGGTCAATATTACACTCAGGACTCGAAAAAACTCAGAAATTTCACCCGTCCCCGAGGACGGTTTGTCCAACAATGTTTCCTCGTCCTCCTTTGAAACTAACCCGTCCCTTCTAAATAAATGAAAATATAATTTTCTCTTATTTATTACTAACAATTATATAAATTTCACAATGAATTAGTAGTTACTACGATTACAAATACTAGGATAACATTATACGGTAATAAAAGAAATACTAGGTTACTGATAGTAAAACCTAGTATTTCTTTAATGAAATAATTTATTTCTTTAATGAAGTAATTTAAATAACAAAGATAAAGTCTTCTGTCAATTATNATTATACAGTAATAAGAGAAATACTAGGTTACTAATAGTAAAACCTAGTATTTCTATAATGAAATAATTTATTTCTTTAATGAAATAATTTAAATAACAAAGGTCAAGTTATTTGTCAATTATCATGTCAATTTATCCGATGGTACTGCGTTTTTTAAATGTATCGAATACGACGTTTGCCAGTTCCTCAACCAAGCCAATGATTTGCAGAGGTTTCTGTACAGAAATCTGAAAGAGGTTTTTCATTTAGGTAGATATTCATAATTGCGGTTGACGCTTCTTGTTTAAGGCCAGTACGTAATGTGTGTGTTTTTTTTTTTTTTTNTTTTTTTTTTTTTTTTTTTTTTTTTTTTTTGTAAGTTCATTGGTGAAAAACCCTTTTCAACCACTGCAGTGCTCCCAGACAGAGAAAACATCAGTTCCACCATGCGCAGTATGTTGCTGTATTTCGAGATTAGAGGGTCATTTTAGAAGTGAGGAGCTAGACTCTTGTAAGATAACAAAAATTGAAAATATATCACGAACATCAATGGGAAAATGGCCGTCCACGCGGACGTTGGATTCGAGAAATTTGTTGTCCGCGGGGAATTTTTGACCGTCCAGGACGGGCGGACGGGCGGTTTTTCGAGCCCTGATTAATGGCCTGTTAGAAATTTCTCGGAAAAAATGGTTGATTGACAATATATTGAACGGTTATTTTACCATATTAAATCAAGACAGTCAAATAACCATAAATAAAATAGTAATGAAACTGTTAAGTATGAGAAAAAACTGTTTATTAACTGCTTTCATTTAATACAGTTAAACAAACAGAATTTTATCGCACTAACTAGAACCACCTAATGAATCTACTTAGTTCTTTGCAACTGCGTACATACCATAGCCGAGAGTCCTAGTTTTGACTCTGCAATATTTCCTCCATTCCCATCAACACGTGAAGAATTTCCAGTGTCCGGTACTCTCCAATGTCCATTACCTTACGGAAAGCCGAGCTACTATGTTTAGTTAAATAATAATTTATTTTTTTTACGTTTTTGAAAAATGCTAGTTGTAAATGGTTAAAAAATCATAAAGGAAAAAAATGTTCTTTACCATAAAATTTACGGTTAATCGGATGGACAGACAGCTGCCAATTATTTTATCATAATTTTAGAATGAAAATTTTAGCAGTGTATGGTTCAACACGCTCTAAATTGCAAAGTGTACATTAATAGTGATGTTAATAAACCATCCTTTATTAATGTAATTATTTTCTTACTTACCATCGGTCCGTAGTGCATTATCGATTTATAATCGTATTCAATGCCTCTTGGACTTTCGATTCCTCTATCGAACTGGGAATACCTTTGTACAGGCATGTTGTGCCAGTTTATGTGTATGTAGCCATCACGGTCATTTCTGGACTGCTCGTGGTAGAACCCGATGGCATGTCCAATTTCATGAATGATGATATTGGACTGAATAAAATAAATAGAATACATTATTTAGTATGCATGAATCAAAACATATAGGAGATTGAAAACTATTGAATGCTTTTTAAGAACACCATAAAGCAACATTTACAATAAAGCAATAGGTTCGAAATACTTCTAATAATGAACTTCGATGAAGTTCTTTTAAAGAACACTTTCAAATATTTGACAGCATATATTCTATCATTTGAGACTTAAATTCATATCTAACATAAAAACTTCGTCATGAGGAAAAGTAAGAATAAAAATAATTTTTAAAACTTAAACAACTTTTAATCAAATCTTAAGAGGGAAAGAAAGTTTTTACTTACTCGATTACAACGTTCTCCTATGGATACATCTTGTCCAGTAAAAAATCCGTTGACCCTGCCAATCATAGACCAACAACTACAAAAAATAAATCCTTTTTAGTTTCATATTAATTTAGTATTTTATTGTCCTTCAGATTATTACTTTTTAAGTTAATTCATTTCATTACCAATTATTCAATGATACATTAAGATCATTGATTGCAGTTATAACACACTGAGCAAAACATTCTGGCAAAAAACAAAAAATAAGAAAAAAATTCTCGTTCTCTGTAATACTTCCGGATCAAATTTTGGCAAAAAGTATGTTAAAGTATGTATGTAAAAGTATGTTGGCAAAAAGTAGTTTTGGTCATCCCAGGTGCATCATACGTAAAATTAATTTTACTTAAAAAACCATTTTTAACGTAAAATTTTATACCGTCGATTTAACAGTTGTAATTATTTATCTACAGAGCTTCCGTGATTTTAGAAATAACATTTATGTAAAAAGTACGGAAATTCAGATTCTTTGTTATGTAAATTTCTCGGTAAAATTGGATTTTACGTAAAAAGTACCAGTACTCTAGATACCGGTGCATTTGACAGTAATTTGAATCGGAATTTTCACATTGTGATAACGATTATTTTTGATAGATAAATTCAGGTAATTAACATCAAAAATTTACGAAACTTAAAACATTTATTTGGTAATTTTTCAATTATGCTAAGGGCTTATCGAAAATTTTGATTTCCAAAATTATAGTTCTCTTCAGCACATATTAAGCAAAAATATAAAACTGAAAATTAGATTTAATATAAAAAATGGTTTTCACGCCATGCTCTGAAAACTCCAGATAAAACCAGCAAAACGCTCTACATAACTATCATTCATTTTACCATTTTTGGGTAATTTTAATATTCTATGTTACGTATTTTTCCAAATAGAGATAGACCTTATGATCTGTTTCCTTTCGATGGTTTATTTGAAAAGACAGTGTATTTCAACAGTTGAATAGGAGTTAGCTGACGGATAATTATTTGTTTTTCTAATATATTTCCATATTTTAAATGGGGGGAAAGGTCTAATTGATACTTGCAAGTGTTTTAAATATACTAAACAGAGATAGATCGAACGATGGTGTCTGTTTGGATATTGAAAAAGGTTTACTGCTACCATTTGGCTGTTCTTTATACAGTGACTGTAGTGTGTTAATTTAATATTTGAGCTTTTTGCGCTGTTTAGTTTCATTTATTAACCAACCATCGATTGGTTTATAAGGTTTTTTTTCAATCAATAAATTTATAGCGGTTAATGATTAATGTAGCGATTTTATTGCAATAAAATTATATTTATGCGCGAAGGAAAAATTCTGATAAAATTATCATACTATATGTTAATGACATTTCTGGTGAAAAAAATATTATTATGGTTATCAAAACATAAATATTTGATATTCAAACCATTCATTTAGTAATTTTACTGTTCACTCTGGTAACTGTTTATCGGAAATTCTGTTTTTTCGAAATTATAGTTCTTATTACCATACATTCAGCAAAAATACAAGAATGAAAAATAAATTTAACTGAATAAATAGTGTTTATGACATGCTCTAAGGTATCATGATAAGATTATAAAATTTTAACACATTTACCAAATTTTATCATTCATGGTAAAACCCTATTTTAATATTAATTTTATTATAATCAATACGAAAGCCTTGCGATAAAAATCACCGAACTTTTCGTGTTCCTGCAAAGCCAGAAATACAGTAAATGTTATAATATTCCGATAGTTTTGACCCTGCTTCTTTTCTCAGTGTCAAACAATTCAAATTTGAATTAAGGAAAACAACATGAATAAAGCACAAATTAAGGTACAAAAATGGACATTAATATAGTTTTGGTTCAGTTAACAAGAGCCTTTATGTCCTCAATGTCTAAGCACAAGAAATATTTAATACAAAAAAAGAAAGTTATAAATTGTTTGTGTTTAGATTCTTAAGAAGGTTGTTGTTTATAAAACCGAAGCTATAGTAATGTCCATTTCTGTACCTTTATTTGTATTTTATTCATGTTGTTTTGCTTTATTAATACAAAGTCCAAAGTATACCTTATAATCATTCGGATATTCCAATGTGATTTCAAATTATTCATAAATTATTTTATAAACATCTCGTTATTGACGAGACGTTTAAGAATAAACTTAACTCATAGCGAGATGAAAATGAAATAAAATTGTACCTAATTAATATGATAAAATTTCGGTAGAATAATTATCTAATACAGCCTAAATATCTACTTAAAATAACTATTAATTATTACCCACAGGAAATTAAAATAACACTTGTAATATTTAGATATATTTAAAATTGATAAAAAATGGAAAAATAAAAGAAGAGAATGAAAAAGAGAAATATCAAAACGGATTGACCTTGCTCTACGTAAACAAGAAAACAAGTTTTTGATTGGAACCTCAAGGCAATAGAAGAAGAGGAAAGCACGAAAATACTTGCACAAGACGGTATTAAGTAAACTAAAAACAATAGCAATACATAGTGGTCGTATTAATACAATAAAATTTTGGTGGATTAATTATCTACTACACTTCCAAATTTTGCTTAAAATAATTATTTATCGATGCCTGCAGAAAACTAAAAAATTACTTACAATAATATATATGAAACATTTGAAAAGAATGAAAAAAGGAAAAAAATAAACTATGAAAAAAATGAAAGGAAAATGAAAAAAAAATTATGAAATAAAAATGGATTGGCCATGTTCTACGTCAGTGTTTCCCAAAGTGTGGTACGCGTACCCCCAGGGGAACGGGAACAGTTTAGCGGGGGTACGCATTCTTATACGAAATATCTTACATCAAGCGAAAATTTCACAAAATTTTATTTAAAATCAAAGCTAGCCACAAAAATTTACGATTACGTATTTTTCTATTGGCTATTTTTTGCAGAGTTAACAGTTAATAATTAGTTTTGTCAACAGCCAGCTGTGATATCTAATTTTCGTGCACTTTTTAATAGTAAAAAACATATTCATTTTTTGATTAGTGGTACACAGCGTTACGAAAAATTTTGAAAGGGTACACAAAAGTAATAAGTTTGGGATACACTGTTTTACGTAAACCTGAGAAATTTAAAGTAAAACAAGTCTTTCATTGGAACCCTAAGGGTAAAAAAAAAGAAGAAAGATCCAAAAATATTTGGTGCAGGACAATTACACATGAATTGAAAATAATAAGAAGAACATGGGAGAGGGCTAATATCTGGTCACAAATAGGGTGAGATGAAAAGTTATTATAGAAGCCCTATGCTTCAATTCGGAGTGAAGAGGAATACGTATATATGTAAAAAAAAAATGATTTAAATAAAATAAATGTTGTAAATGATAGGATATTTACCCTTCTTTGTCTGCTCTGAATCGTAAAAAGCTGAAATCCGTTGGCTTTTCTGTAAATTTCAAACATGAATGTTTTTCCCATTCTTTCATTGCATCTACAATCATGGATTTTAAATTATCGTCCACTGCTACATATAAAAAGAGTAAATTTGGTTATTTTAATTTAATATAATATAAATACTTCAAATTCAAAATAACAAGTATTTTTAAATTAATTAGATTTCATTAAAACTATACTATTTTATAGACACTGTTGGAAATTTCTCGGAAAAAATGGCTAAATAACAATTTATTTAATTGCTATTTTACTATATTCAACTAAAACAGTCAAACTACCATAAAAAAGATGTTATTCTAACTATTAAATGTTAGAAAAATCGTTTATCGATGGTTGTCAATCTCCTCATGACCGATTGTGCGAGAATTTGAATCCCAAAGATGACACCACTTCTTTCAATAAAGTTTGCAATGTTCTATCCAATTGGCGATTCTGGACTATTAAAAAAGTAAACTCTCATTTTCGCATATATGTTCATTGAGCACTCATTGAACACAAAAAAGTATAATATTTCTTAATTTTCATGAAAGAAAACACCATCAGAAAAACTAATTGAACCACGTTCCATGATTCATTTGGTAAAACACAACTAAACTATAACTTAACTCTAATGTTCATGACCTAACAAAAAGCCTCGCATAACCTAACTCCTATGTCTAGTTAAATTTCATTCTGACGGTTTTTTAACCATACCAGTTGTTAACGGTTTCAAATAAAGATAAGAAATGTTCATAACCGTGAACTTAACAGTAAGTTGAACGGACAGACTGTTGTCAATTATTTTGCCTTCATTTTAGAATGAAAATTCTAACAGTGTAGGAAATTAATTATGTCGAATAATTAATACTTCGATTTTTGAAACTTAAAAGTTTTAATTTTGTTTTCTGATTTAACTTCATTTGATCTCGTATCCATTTGCTTTTATTTCTCTATAACTATTAAATGTATCTGAGTTTGCAACTTTCTTTTATTGCAAAGTCATGTAAATTTAAAAACAATAAATTGCATATTGATAAGCATTGATAAGATTTAGATATTAGTTATTTTATTTACAGGAATTCCTTAAAATGAAAATCATGATGGATTTAATTCATTATTTTATATTAAATTTGGATTGAAACAATATTTTTAAAGAAATTTGGACATTTTTAAAATGTTATTATAATGGTAAAAATAATTTTTCTAAAATCTATTAGTAATGATAGAGTACAACATACAAATAATTCTTACAACTATGAAAGTTATAGGAGATTTTGCCATTTGTCCATAAAGTAAAAACATTGACGATGCCTTTCATTTCTTGCACATCCCTCAAAGATGAACGTCCCCATGGTAATGCAATATCCCCCTGCACTATTTTTCTTCCATCGAATGTCTTTGTGGGGTTGAACTCCGTCAATAAATTCTAAATTAAAAAAGAACATATTAATAACAATCGGTATTTTTTGAATTATTATAAAAAAGAAAGCTAATATTAATTATATAAAGTGAATGGAAATTATCTGTCCAATCTTAAGAAATTGTTTAAAGTAATAAATACAAGGTACCTAAATTTCACATATTCGAGAAAAGCTTACACTTTTAATTCACACTGTGAAATATAAACTGTACGAATCAAATTACATATAAAGCACCGGCACTTTGAGTGCAGCACCCGCAAAATCTACTTTCCGTAGAATATTATACCGTAATTTTTACTGTAGTACTTATCTAATTATAGTGATTGAGTCATTACAAGGTAATTATTGCTGCAAAATTTACGGTGTATCAGATTTTTTGTACAGTGAAATGTTCCGGTGAGAATGAATTTATAGTAGAGGTACTTCTACCGTAAGTGCCAGTACTTTTTACAGAAATTCATTCCAAATTTTTTTTACCGCGCATTAGGGGAGAAAACTACTAAAAAGCGTAAGAATATGATAATAAACTTGTAAAAATCACTATACAAGGCATGTAATCTATTAAATGGTTAAATAAAGGCTTAAACGTGAGAAAATAAATGGACATTGCATGATAAAACTTCGTATAAATTAAATTTTATGAACTGCTGTTACTTTTAAAAACCATGCAAATCATTATATTTCTTTCAAGAATTATTGCGTGGCCAGATTCATTTATTTTTTGCAACAATCATACATATTAAAATACTTTAAATTATATTTTTTTATTCTTATGTACTTATTTTTTTATGAAATTATAAATTAAAAGAAAATGTAAATCGCAGTTCAAGTTATTTTTATCGTTGATATTAAATAAAGAAGATTTTTTTTAACATTATTTTTCAGTTTTCTTTTCTTATAATTATTGATTGTTGCATGATTATGCTTAGTGCAATAGTGATTTCGCATTTATTCGCAAAACGCATTCGAATTTATTAAAAATGTATTTATATATTTATGTATACATTAAAATTTATTAAAAATAAATTTGTTAAAAATTATTCAAATTAATTAAAAATATATTCAAGTTGTATTCAATTGAATTTATTAAATATATGTTTATGCATAATTCGTTAAAATTTATTAAAAATATATTTATATAAGATTTCATTAAATTCAATAAATTTATGAAATTTATTAAATTCATTAAATTTACTTATATATCTAGAATTTCAGGTTATTCTGTAATGACAACCCTTAATATATGTTTACAGATTCCTTGTAAAAAAATTAAGTCAAAAAATACGCACAACGTAAAACAATATTTAAAAGAAGAAAAAACAAAATTTCCATCGAAATCAGTCGAATAATCAGTGAGGGATTTGGAATAAAAAACATCGAAACCTGTCATGTTGTCGGGGGAAACAGAAAGAACCTAAGGTGAGATTATTAGCAACACTTTCAAGTTTTATCAGGCAATCAAACTGGTTTAGGTGGGTTTTTTTTCCTCACCTTTCACCAATACTGATTAGTTACCTTTTGAGTATGCCTTTCCCTTTCCCCACCCTGCATGATTTTGACTTCAGTTTTAAAGTTATTCTAAAAATTTATAATGTGGGATGACTTTATAGAACAGCCTGTATGAAACGGAATTTAAAAATGTCTAAAACTAACGAAATGTTTGTTTAAAAGAGAATGACATAGCCTACTGGTCATAATTTTTTTTTTTTAGGAATGTGGTTCAAGAGGGCAAATAATTTAAAGAAACTAATACTTTTCAGTTTAAAAGAATAAAAATTAATTGGAAGAATTAAAAACAAAATAACATTCATTGCTATCTTGATTTAATTTTAACATTCCACAAGAATGAAATTTGTTTTATTTAGGTGTGGTTTTTAATAAGCTTTGTTTTTTACTCAATTAAGTAAAACAAGTGGGCTGCGCCCCCTGCTAGCTAACGCTTTGAGCCACCTCAGCTAGAATTGGCATGTAAAATTTTTAGCGGCAATCATTGATCGATTCGCCGTATGAGAGAAATAGCAACGTAAACAAAGCAAAGCAAACGTTGCCACTGGCGGAAAAGAAATACAGCCAAAATTTGGGAGCCACGTAAGAGAATTATGTATATTAGATAACGCGATATTTCTTTAATTTAACTAATTAATATTTTTTTTATTTTCGTAACCCAAATGAAATTTGTAGGAATTCATGGTACTTGATATATTTGAAAATTATAGTTATCACTAATACACGTGATATCAATAATACTCGTGATAATATCTTATTCAATATCTATCGCTGTCGATAATCACCTGTTGCAGCCTAGCTGTCAATAATGATCTGTTATAACATAGTTGTCGTTACAGACCTTTGATATCATACATAGAAGAAAGCAATTCTGGTAAAATTATCGTACAAATTAATGAAGACATTTTTGTTTAAAAAGAATAAAAATAAAAAAATTTAATGAAAAAACGTATCTTTTGTCCAAAAAAAAGAAAATATGATATTTAGTGTAAGAAGAGATATTCACTATACACTACGGAAATTAGTTTCAAACATCTTTATTGCGATGTTTAGAAAATATCGATATATCCTGATCGATGTTCCCTATATCGATATACCTAGCTGTAATAATGATTGAAAAAAAATATTTAACTTACCAAGCCGTC